ATGCCTTAAGAATAACACAGATAAACTGCTACAGAAGATCACAGGAGAGTGGGAATTATGAGAAGCTTTGCCTAATGTCACTCTAAGAAAGCAAAGTATAAATCCCTAACTCTGCTGGGATCCAGTAGAAGCTGGTTTTCTTTGAGATTACAAATTTTTGCATTGGTGTTGAGAACTGGTCCAATTGTCTGAGTTTCAATTTTTAGTCTCTTTGCATTGGCCTTGAGGAGAGAGGTATTTTTTTTTGTTGTTATTAATTTCTCTTACAGAGAAAAAAAAAGTAAGCTCAGCAAGGTCAAGTACAAGCCAAAAACTTATGCAAGGCAGACCCTCATCAGTGCAACTATCTAAAGTTTCAATGCACAAAACAAGGCTTGTTTCAAAGAGTGATTTATTACAAGTATGCCTTTTTAGGTGTTTAATAATGGCCACCCAATAAGATGTTTGCTTTTTCCTGGGATCAGGCTTAACTCCTTTTTATGCTGAAGTTAGTTGAATGTAGGCTAAAAGGAAATTGTCAACACTGGAAGTAAATTGCAACAGGTTTCATAAACTCCATTTGATAAGAGGGTTAAGTTTTATAACTTTCTGTAAAACAGCTGTCACTGGCTTGTATGTGGGAAGACAAATTAAAATAATATTTATTGAATATTTAGTATGTCCTGGCTTAAACATTTTACATAGATTATTTTATTTATGGATACTCTTATTATTCCCATTTTATAAACTAGGAAACAGTCTTAGAGTGATTAAGGAATTTTTCCAAGTTTACATTTAGGAAGTAGTGACATCAGGATTGGAATTAGTATAAAGAAGTAATATATGAATAAATTAACACAATCTTATTTGTAGACCTACATAAACAACATATGCACTTATACATACACATTTACACATATTTAAATTTACTTTCCAAAAATTATTTCATGTGGTTTACAACAGAGAACTCGTAAATAAAATTAAGAAAATGAAAAATCGAGGCCGTGAGAAGGAAGATTATGCTAACCATATGAACTTAACCTGTATCATCAAATGTGAAAACAAGAAAGGAAGATCGTAGACCCTTTTAAAAGCCTTTTACCCGTAACGGTTGTTTTTTATCTTCATAAAGTTACATTACAAAAACTGAATAAACTTTATGAAAGCTATGATTTTTCCTGAACATATTTTTAATTTTTGAGCATCACTGGCACTTAAAGTGTCTTGATGTTTATTCTTAAATGAGATAGTTAAAATCCAAAAATATTTTCTAAATGGTAAAGTACTATATTACATTTATTTCTAAGCCTCTTTTCCTTACTTAGTGGTGAGGCCCTGTCTATCACACATGAGACTGGCATTCTATTCTATTCCATCACTTCTAGGAGCAGGCAAATTTCCTTTTCCAGAATCTGGCATGCACAAGTGCCCAACACATAGATCCTTCCCAATAAGTGATTTGCAAACAAATATTAAATGATGGCTTGTACTGCCACATGATGCCTAACATGCCACTGATATATAATGTGTGTGTGTGTGTGTGTGTGTGTGTGTGTGTGTGTTTTTAATGTGTCATTCTTTTAATCTAAAGGCCCTGTTAACCCACCAGTTTTCCAATAGTTATTTCTAAGCACTTAATGCTCTCTTACATCATCCCTGGCCAGTTATCACCTCTCACTGTCAGAAGTTTCCAAACTTGAATGCAAAACCCTGTGGCCTGTGCTAAGGCTATAACATAGGACTCTGGGAAGAAAAGATTAAAACTCTTAATTTCTTTTTATCTCATGCTTTTTCATTTCTTTTTTGTGAGTGTATGCTTTGTAGTAATAAACATACATGAATACAGTGGTACATTTTATACATATATTTAGGTGCATGCTCAAACATTTTACTGATAGCAATGCATGATCTAAAAGGTTTGAAACTGTAGCTCTAAATAATTCTGCTGAACTCAGCATAACTCAACCAAAAAAATCCTGCGACCATAAAGAAATAAAGAATGTTTTCCTATGGCTGGGTAAGGGGCAGGGGTGGGGAATGAGCTGGTCTTTTATATTTTTCATAACATAAATATACTAGCAAATAATTCACAACATTTCACTCAGCAATTAAATATAGCAACTTGTGTTGGTTTTTTTTTTTTTTTTTCCTTCTTCAAAAAAGAGCACAGTGAAATCCTAAGAGAGTTTTTCTTTTCTTTTCTTTTTCTGGTTTTTACTTCATCTGCCTCTGGTCCCCAAAGTTTGTCATTTTGAAGGAACCATCAAGTTACTCAAAACCTGTGTTGAGTATGAAGAGTCCAGTCCTGTGAAATATTGATCAGGTTAGGTAATTTGTCTCTGTCTCATTTCTCTTACTGTCAGAAGTCTTCAAACTTGAATGCAAAACAGAGATAATAACTTAGAAGCGACCTCATAGCCATGTAGTGTGGATAAAGAACACTTTGTTCCTTCTGTCAACTAAATGCAGTGTCATTAAATATAACCTTTAATATTATCAGTTTAAAATGTTGTGTATATAAGACACTTTTACATTTTAAAAGTTATTTTCGTTAAAAAATAAACAAAACATCATGTTTCTAAATATCACTGTTTACTAAACTTCATAAACTTAAGTTTTCTCAGTATCTATTTCTCTCTCTGTCTCTCTCATTTGATAACTTTATGGTTATGAGAGGAAAACTGTAAGATAGCATCAAGGAAATAAAAGGGGATTTGAAGTAAGTTCTCTTATTCAGCTTTCCTTTAAGTTTTAAAGCCATGCATTTAGGCCATACAACTGCAGTGTTTATTTAATCTTCAAAATGTTTGTGTTTAAGAGTAACTCACAGACTCTTAAATCAGAAGCACTCTTAAGAAAACATTTAGAGCTTATGATTATGCCTAGTATATAGTAGATGATGAGTAAACATTTAATGAAAAGAAACTGGGGAAAGCTTATTTTAATTTTAAAAGAAAAAATGAAAATAAAACCTAAAACCAATTCTGAGCATTAAAGTAACTAAGTTAGTTGCTCAAAATTGGTTCCGCTAGTTTAAGAGTTGGGTCTAAAATTTATTCCTCTTAATTTCCAGCTTTGCTCTCCCCGCCCCCCCAACCTGTTGACCTGTTTACCTGTTTATATAGAACTGTCAAACATAATCTATGGAAGACACATCATAGAAAAGAAAGTCAGAAAGAACCCCTTGGGTTCACCATCTCCAAAAGTCACCCAACATGTGATGTTCACATATGATGTGAAATATGTAAAGTCAATATCATATATGTAATATGCAAAATACAAATATTGCAATGTTGACTCAAAGGTCTATTTTTAAAAGAAAGGGACCATAGACAAATCTTCCGTGACTTATTCTACCTTACAGCACTGTGTATGCCCACGCAGGTGACTTGCAGCCCTCGGACCAGCTGAAAGTAGATTGGCGCTTTCAGCAACATGTTTATCTTTGTTTCTGTGTATTTCTGTATTGATTTTTCTGAATTTACCTTGGAATGAAGCATTAACAACCTCGATGTACTATACTCCTAATAAACTTATCTTGCACTATTTTGGCCTATGTGATAGCTAACCCATTGACAAAAGAAATTCAAGCTGATAAAAGCCTTTATAGTCACTTATCAGCCAGGCCAGGCTGTAAAATCATAACCTAATGCATGCCTCTTCCATGGGGCACCACACAGCAACGATTTAAAAAAAAAACAAAACCACAACCCCTCACTTCCATATCCAGGGGAGTTGTAGTTTATTACTATCTCCCTCCCAAGTCAAATGGACACCAGTTTCAAGCCTTGCCACTTGGTGCACCCAGGGTTTTCGCCCATTCCCCACTCTGCTGGGCCTCCCTACCTGTCCCTCTCCTACTGTCTACAGGTCCCGAACATGAGAAAATAGAAAATGTGATGATCTTTGTGTGTCTCTGTGAAATGTGTGTGTGTGCGCGTGTGTTTGGGTGTAACGGGCCTTCTGTTTGGCCGCGCGGCCTGTCCGTCAGCGCGCGGGCCAATGGCAGGCTGCCTTATATAAAGTGAGTGTTTTCGGGCTCCCCGGGTTGCATGTACTGTATGTGGAGCAGTGTACAGTGAAGCGGAGGCAGAGCGGCTCCGCGAGCTCCTCTCCACTTTCCCATAGAGAA